ACTGAGTGCAACAACTGTGCATGTATGCTCCAAGGCTATAATATAATGCATGAACAATGTGCTTTCATATAGGTCTTGAAGAATGATATATGTCACTGTGGAGTAAGAAGTCTTGTCGGAAGTTTTGTCATTGCCAGGAAATGGTAGCTAATGCTACATATCAACGGCATTATCTTTTGTATTTTGATGAAAGTAGAAACAACTGGCAGGTTTCAAAAGATATTGCTAGTACTACTCTACTGCAATCGTCAGAATCAGAGAACTCAGATATTGAAGGTACACACTGCATGTGTTGTTGTTTATTGTTTAATTGTGTTGTTACTCAATGTAGCTGATACTACAGTTATTATTGAACCATCAAATGCAGAGAACCACGAAGCATTGAAAATATTAGGTAGCTGTAATTATATTGCAAAATGCCTTATTTTTATTGTATATAGATGACATTGATCTTTGTGACACTATGGAAACTGACAATGTACTCGATGTCACAAATAATGAGACTAGCATTGTGGATGGAGAAATTTGGGAAGGAGTTGATGATGTAGATATTCAAGAAGATTTTCATTACTCAAATGATGAATATATGAGCAACAGTCCAACCATTATGTCTCCAAGTAGCCCCACAACAAGCACTTTTAAAAGCATTATTCTCCTGTTTCTATCACTCATTGGAAAGTGGTCTTCTTTCTACAAAATTTCTGACAACAGTCAAAATTCACTTCTCAAGCTTCACTATTTTTTGAAGCTTTTGGGAACAGTAGTCACATCTTTTGGACCTTTTCTGAAAGTTTTTCCAAAATCACTGCATGAAATGAAATCTCTGTGTCAAATTTCTTCTGATCCTTTTGAGAAGCTGGTAGTTTGTCCTTCATGTCATCATATTTACTGGTTTGATGACTGTTTTCAAGTAGTAGCAGGGAAAAGAGTCCCCCGTAAATGTTTTAGTGTGCGTTTCCCTAATCATTCGCAAGCACATCATCAAAAGCCATGCAATGCAAATCTTTAAGCAGAAATAACACTTAAAAATGACAAGAAACAATACTATCCATTTAAGGTTTATTGCTATTCTCCCATATTATATATCAACTCTTAAATGCCTTCTTGAAAAGAAGGGGGCACTTAATGCATGTGAACATCGGAGGTCAAGAAGTGTCAGTGAAAATTTGTTAGAAGATGTTTATGATGGGA